TGTGTGATACCCGATACGTAGTTCGGTCAGGTTAATTCCAGCCTGTTCGTGGCTTTCCTTAGGCGTTAAGAGAGCAGCATTTGAAGGGTGCCTTAAAATAAGACAGAATATCTTCAGCACAACTGCTTTCATTTCACTGTTCGTAATTATGCTCCAGTCTCGTAGGCCTACACATGGTAACTCCGTAAAAAGACAAAAGGTTTGAAGGAAATTTTCCAATAATTTATTACTGAAAAACTACAGCGAACGTGGAGAGATGACTGTGTATGAGAAGGGGAACAAATGACGTCACTCATGTCAAAGAAAATTCGGATTACAATGGGCGTGCAGTTTAAGGCACGAACCGTCTTCGCTTGCTCGAATACTGGGGTCGTGGGTTCGAATCCCACTGGAGGCATGGATGTCTGTGTGCGTTTATTCTGTGTTTGTGTTGTTCCGTGTGAAGCAAATAAGAAATTGAGGAGCAACAGACACACACACAGATGTATATATATATATAAATCCTACATACAGGGAGTGTTAAATGCTTAGTAGAATCTGACGTTATCCTTTGGTATAATGATGTGCAGACGCTTAAAAGTCAACCGCCGTTACGGAGGTACATCGCGTCTCCAACTTCAGGCCATATGACTAAGCCAAACAAGAAACAAGCAGCAAGAATTTCTTGGCTTTCCAACTGCGGTTTTGCTGGTGGCTTCGCGTTGGTTTCTCCCCCAGGTTATTCTTCGATCCAGAAGACTAAGGTTGCAAGTTCCTCTGAAAGGTCGATTGACTTTCAACGGACTATGCGGCATTATGTCCCAGAAGATGTAAATCTTCTGGAACCGTGGCAGCTCAGTCGGTATAGTGACGGGCTTCGGACTGGAAGGACGGGGTTAGATTCCTGGCAGGGTCAAGGTATGTCTCTCTTTTATAGTGGCAAGACCGGTTCTGGGGCCCAGACGCCCTCCTATATACTGGGTTCTGGGGGCTCGTTCCCCGGGATATAGCAGCCAGAGCGTGAAGCCCACTCACCTTTATCTATTGCAGAGGTTGTCTTGTGGTAAAGTGTTTAATTAATTAACCACAAGAAGAACTTTGTTTTTCTTTTTACTTTAGATATAGCTTTTAATGTTATGATTCACTCGGGTCGGGTTTTACTTTCTAGGACCTGTCATTAAATTTTGAGCATTCATTGCACACTGTTTTCCTTCTTCGTTCTTTTTGGCCTTATTCTTTTATGGATTTGTCGTCTTCAGTTTCCACAGTAATTTTCTTTCAAAATCCCCAACTTTCGCACCTCGATCTTCTGTAATAAACTTAACAGGTCTTCTCCACTTACGCTGGTTTGCCACTCAGTCCTCATCCTGCTGTTCGTGATAAGCGGAACTCACTTTTAGGTAATATTTCTCCTTCATTCGTTTAGCAGGGCCATAATAATTCAGCTCTCTACTTTGTAAGTTTCTAACATCGATAAAAGAACATCGATTACTTCCCATATACTTCATTTCTCACTCTACTTTATGTTCTCGCCTGAAGACATCCTCCTATCTAACCCAATTTAAGGGCAATCACTTTATTTCTAAATATTTCAGTAAATTGCCACATTTATACTTCCCGAAACTTGAACAGCCCTCATGCATTTATTGTCTCTTCAAGAGAAGCCACCATTTCAGTCTACTACCCGCAGAGAATTCAGTTTTCTGCTGGTCTCTCAGTAGCTCGGAGCACAGTTGCAGAAGAGAGAATTGTATGGTTTCGGTAGCGCCTACAGAACGTTCATTACGAGATCCTAGAAACTCCTGCGCCTGCTTCACGTAGCTCTGGATCCTGTGACAGGAAAACCAGAGGCAGAACCACATTTGACCCTGCCCTCATTTCGAATAAAGGATTAGCCTATAAGCACAAATATAAGGCGAGCCCCTACTTTCCAATTATTAAATCAGAAAACAAGTTTTTTGAAAAATCGAATGTGTTATTTACTTCTGAGTGTTTTAAACAAAAATAAGTGAACACTGTACAATTAATAAATAATAAAATTAAAATGCATTATCTTAAATAAAATTCCAAACATTTTGAAAAATATCATTAATATTAACAATTAGACCGCCTCATAATCATCTGCTTTATATTGTGACATGACAGCTGAAAAAGCAGAAAATTTTCAGTTGCTAGGAAACGGCTCAGTAAACACTTATCGCGGAAACGGATATGCACGCCACAATGGATAATATATTGGAGTCGGTGTTTTCTAAGTGGTTCGACCCGAGTCTATATAACGAGGGCCAGCGGGTTCCAATAACTCAACCTTAGCCCTGAGAGCCGTAGGAGGCGACGCAACGGGAACCAAATGCCAGGGGGTATAACTGGGTCATCCTGTTCCTGGGAAATAAAAAATGGGGGGATCTGACCCTGTAGGCTTGGGGAGTCTCGAATTTGAGGCAGTAAAATATGGTCATGAGTCCCCTGGGACTCGGACCCGAGAATGACTGCGCTGGCGAGGGCCAGTAGCAATTGTAAACGTCATATCCATCCTCTCATCAAAGAAAATGTTACACAAGGATCATGACCGCAATAGTTCACTTGGAAAAAATGATTGGCAGCCGTGAATCCCAAAGGGCTTGGCGCCAAGACGAACTGATTGGCGGTAAACCGTAAGTCGTAAAGTAACCCTGACTCTGATGCAGTTAGTTAGCGTAGAGAAGTGCGGTGTGTCTGTACTTCGCTTTATTGCACATAGAAATAACTGAAGCCAGGGCGTTTAGTACTTTTATTAGAATCTACTCCCTATTCAAAAGTAAGCGTTTAAGCGTCAAAATTAAACAAACCCTCCATAAAGCACTGATCAGATCAGTAGTGACTTCTTACCCCGCCTGGGAATTAAGGGCAGACACCTACCTCTTAAAATTTCAGCGCCTGCAAAACAAGATTCCCCCCACCATTAGAAAATTTACAAGGTGCACACCGGTCCGCGATTTGCACACAGCTTTCGATCTCCGTATGTATACGATTATACATGTATAATAATATTGTGCAGGTAACAAGCAGAAGTCATACAAAAATTACGATGATGAATATGTTCGCAGCATAGGACAGGGTGAAACCAGGCACAGAAAATATATGAAGTTTGAACTTGGCGGGGGTTAAGCTTACGACCGTTCAAGCGACTAACCTGTCGTTGTAGCATAAGATATGTAAGATAGACATGATCTGCTATGCAAAGCCTGGACTGAGAGAGGGCTTGTATATAGTGCCAGAGGGAGAATTTCCAATTACATGCTCTATGTTCGAAAGTACACGCAAGCGTACAATTGCAAAAAAAAAAAAAAAAATAAGAACTCTCTGGTCGTGAACCTCAAGGGGCTTGGCGCCGAGAAGAACTGATTGGCAGTAAACCGACAGTTGTAAAATATAACACTGATTCTGACTCTGCAGTTAGTCAGTTGCAAACATGATTTGGCCAGTTGTGAGCCAGCCGTCATCCGGTGAGGACTTAAGCACCGCAGCAGAACATTCACGGTTAGCAGCCGTAACCCAGAGACGCCTAGTGAAGAGGGTAACCAAACAGCGACATGAACCATAACTTCTGTGATAACTAATTCAACATCATTTAATAAGAGTAGACAAATTGCTTTCCAAGAGGTATCGGTAACTTTTCCTTTTAACCTTTTCGGTAAAACATGCGGGCCTGTCAAAGATTAGCCAACAGCGCATAAATATTTTTCTATGTCTGCCAGTTATTACTGTGTACATTCATCGCACTATCACACTATGCACATGTAAATATCATCGAAAGAACAAAGACAGGTTTAACCACAGACTGGGCCAAAGCTCATCTACAGAATATCTCTTGAAAACGCCAGATCAAATCCGTGATACTGTGAGAGGAGGCTTTTCGGGCTCACACTCATAAGATTCTCTGTTACTGTTCTGGTGTGTGTAACCCATCCTTACATATGCACCAGATCTTTTAAGGTCACGAATTTATATAAAATATCACTCACTCACTCATGGAGCCGAGCCCTTCTTGAGAAGCCGCCAATTGTACAGCTACTCAAGAACTTCCCAGTATTTTATGGAATCCGAAAGTTCGTTACCGTGTTCACAAGATCTCCCCACTGGTCCATATCCTGAACCACATCAATCCAATTCATACCATCCCATTCTATCACTATAAGATCCATTTTAATATTTTCCACCCACTTATGTCATTTTTTTCCCAGTGATCTCTTTCCATCTCGCTTTCCCACCAATATCCTATATGCATTCCTCTTCTCCCCCATTCGTGCTACAAGCCCTTCTCATCTCATCTCCTTGACTTGATCATTCTAATTATATTTGGAGAAGAGTACAAGTCATGAAGTTCCTCACTATGCAGTTTACTCCAACCTCCTGACTCTTTAACTCCCCTCGGTCCAAACATTCTTAACACCCTGTTCTCAGACATCCTCAGTCTGTTCCTCCCTTAATGTCAGAGACCAAGTTTCACACCCATACAGAACCACAGGCAGAATTATAATTTTGTATATTCTAATTTTTATGCTTTTGGACAGCAGGCGAGAAGGCAAAAGGTTCTGGACTGAATGGTAGCAAGAATTACCCGAGTTCAATCTCCTCTTAATTTCCTCCTGAATCAGGTTTCGATCTGTTATCGTCGTTGGTAATTTTCTGTATAAAATATATGGTATATATATATATAGAAATACATACATATCTACCTAAATCTATACGTACACATAATATGCATACATACATACACTTTTTGTTATTCTATACCCGATTATAACTCCACTGCGTCCCGAATAATACACCGCGACAGATCACACCTTGTGTCGAATACTTTGAAGAATGTACTTACCTCGTCCATCTTTTCTTCTGGAGGCATATCGGCATATTTGTATGAGAAACAGTACCTTAGTCTATATATGATACTTGTTCATGCTTCATTATTCTGGTTTGAAACTCAAATTCTAATGTTCTATCAAAATTTGATGATTACATATAAGTGTTATACAACTCACTAATTTCTCCAGGCTCTACAGTAACCTCAAGTGGTCCGCATTGGTAGTAGCACTCTGGTGGCGGTTCCAGAGTCCACTTCTTGCGCCCTCTTAGCTGTGCCTGCCATGATGGGTGCTCCACATTGTCCACCTGTGACGTCATACGTGTTCACTTAAGGCACATACTTAATAGATGATAACTGTGTTACTTGAAAAAATAAATAAATATAAATTATGTAATCGAAGTAATATTTGAACCCAGCCTTGTGAGGATAGTTGAGGAACTATTTGAATTGAGTAGCAGCGGCTCTTGTCTAGAAAATCGAGATTAATGGCCGTTGGGATACGTTGAGCTGACCACGTGACACTCTATCCGCAAAAGTTGGCACTAATTTCGCAGACAAGCATAGGTCGCTCGGTCGGTGTAGTTCAATTGCGGACTAAAGCTGCAGAGTTTGTTTGTTAGTAATATTTGAATCAGGTAACAAGTAATAGTAACACGTAAATATTAAGGCACATAAAGCTATAAATTTACCTGTTGTTCTCTATGATTGTGTCATATTTTGGATAGAAATTGGACCAATAGTGAGGATATTCTGGAGTAGGTTCGGAGGAATATACGTGAATTTAAAAGGGAGAAAGTGATTAGGAAGAAACTGCATAATTAGGAGCTTTTAATTTGTATTTTTCGCCAAATTAATGACCGAAAGATTATCAGAAAACATTAACTAAAGAGACCACTTGGGAGGTATAGACGCAGAGGACAGGAGAATATTAAAGTGAATTGAAGGAAATGGAATACAATGGTGTGTACTGATTCATCTGGTATACGTACAGGGACCAGTACAGTTCTCTTATGAATGCGGTAATGAATATTTAGATTCTATAAAGGTGACGAGTTTATTGAGCAACTGAGCGGTTACTTTCTCAACAAAATCTCTGCTTCATGGAGATGGATGCGTTGGAATAGCATTTATGCCAGGTACCGCCCAGGTTAGGTTACCTGTGATGTACCTTACACGTGTTCAAATTGCAAGTCGAGGTTATGTTCTCCCGAGTTTTTCCTTTTACGTTTAAAACGATGAATGTGAATTCTGAAAACGTAACTTCAAACATGTTACGTCTTCCTTCTGGGTTCATCCTGATAAATGAATAGTATAACTGGATCACGCCTATTCCGAATTGCACTAACACGTTGTAAATTTCTCAAGGCCTGACCATTCACCTCAAACTAGTGCTGAGGTCAAGAAAGTGTGGATCTATACATCCACTCCCCCATACGCCTTCATAGCGTAGTGCTTAATTAGGTGAGCACAGGGACAACTTTACCTTTACACACGGCACATGCTATAAATCCGTAGTATATCAGAATCACAGTTACTGAGTTGGTTATTAGTTCATATTTCAGCTGCAAGTCAACAAATTATAGATCTGAAATGACGGATATTTTATGTAACCCGCCATAAGAATGTGTCACATTAACTTTTTTCTCTTACGTTATATTTCCTGTCTCTCTAAACAAGTTGTTTCGGAAAAGTAAATTACTTATTTTTGTTAGCTTTTTAATTTACACGTAGAACAGCAATGTTTCCATCTAATTATATTTCAGAGCTAAAAATCTGATTCTGATGAAGCTCCCAGTGGAAATGCAGTGGAAAATGATATGTGCCGTTACTGGAGCAGTAAATTTAGTTATCTGAAACAATTATGAAGGTCTCTTTGCTTGCAGATTTCTTATATATTTTTTCTTCTACCCTGAAGATGGAGGCGATACGTTCCTCCGAAACGTCGGTTAACACCACATATACACGGTGCAAAATCCCAGAAGACTGCTTTCTTCAATTATGAAGAAAGTCGCTGTTTTGAATGGAATCTGATGTGGCCAAACCAATTGTTCTTACATCTCATTCAGCATATCTTTAATAGATTTTAATGTTCGGGGTTCCATTTTTAACATATACACGGTGCAAAATCCCAGAAGACTGCTTTCTTCAATTATGAAGGAAGTCGCTGTTTTGAATGGAATCTGATGTGGCCAAACCAATTGTTCTTACATCTCATTCAGCATATCTTTAATAGATTTTAATGTTCGGGGTTCCATTTTTATGACCGCCTCTGTGGTCTAGTGGTCAGAGTTTCTGGCTACAGATCCAGATGTCCGGGTTCGATTCCCGGCGCTAACAGATTTTCTGAGAAGTAGTGGTTCTGGAACGGGGTCCACTCAGTCTCGTGATAATAATTGAGGAGCTATTTCAAGGAAATAGCGGCTCCGGTATAGAAAACCGAGATTAACGGCCGTGGGGATCCGTAGCGGTGACCACGCCACACCATCTATCCGCTGAAGTTGGCACTAACTTCGCTGACAAGCGGCGGTCGCTCGGTCGGTATAGTTCGCTTACGGGCTGAATCCACGGAGTTTATTTTGTTGTTTTTGTTTTGTTCCATTTTTATAACTAAAGTATGCATGGTACAACAAAATTCGGTTTAAAGGGGAGTCTTACCGTACCGTTAACCTCAATTTCGTCCGAATTGTTGTGTCAAGAGAGAAGTTTGCTCTATAATTCACAGCAGTCTGCTTGGGTTTAGTCACAAAAAACTATTTCATGGATGTAATGTAAGAGTGCCTGTCAGGGTAGCCGAGCGGTATAAGGCATGCACTGTCTTCGCCCGCTCGGATGCCGGGATCGTGGGTTCGAATCCCACTCAGGGCATGGATGTTTGTGTGCATTTTCCTGTGTTTGTTTACAGGTAGAGGCCTTGCGACGAGCTGGTCACCCGCCCAAGGAGTCTCACCGTATGTCTAAGATCTAGTAAAACCGAAGTGAAGCGGAGAGTTTCATGGAGGTAGGCCTAGGCCCAAATGAGGGCTGTAGCGCCAATGGGAAAAAAATGTAAGAGTAGAGAAGCAATGGCATGATTAATTAAAAATCTGTCGATATAGGTGTAGTACACAGTACGCCACAAAATGAAGGGGGGGGGTAAACCTGCATCACTGGAGCCAAAACAGGACGTTGCGGTCAGATTTTAGCCAAACCGCAGCTCGCTTTTCAAATAAAACCTAGCTGTTGGCTCGGAGTGCGTGCGTAGGAGCTGAGTGGAGTATCCTGCACGTGAGTACAGCAATGGTGTCATTTAGGGGATAATTAATCCAGTGATGAGGAGAGAGAGGGGAAGTAGGGTCAAACTTCTCCAACTTCAAACACCACTTTCTCCTCTCTGCCACCCGCGCCCTCATCCCCCCCCCTATTGTTAGCGTGGAACTGACTGTCCGCCGGTTCGCCTAGCTAGGCCAGTCTGTTTTTCTCTACGAATACGAACGCCTGTCAGACCTAGGAAAATTGGATCTTTTTTTTTTTCTTGAGTTCTGTGTTTCAGGTTTCACCGTCACATCGGTAACCGCAAGGAATTTCTGATAGACGTTCATAAAATATAATCTTCTCCTAGATTTTTTCGAACCTTTGCATGGAAGGAATGTGGTATGTGTGAAATTCTGGACTGTGCACTAAGGAAGGAACGAACGGTCTGTATTTTAGAAATCTCAAGCACTCGCTAACGTTTGCTGAACTAGAAGATAGAACAATGTTAGTACCAGAGGCATGATTCGAAACGATTCTCTGTATTTTAATACGATGCACGGTTTCACAATATATTTTTCTGAAAAGAAATGGACGACCCAAGGGTCGGAGTTCGAGTCCCGTTGAGGTCAAGAATTTTCACTTCTCCATGTCGTTCAGACCGGCTCTGGGGTCCACCCAACCTCCTATCCAATAAGTGCAGAGTCCTCCTTGAGAAGCTAATAGTTGTACACCTGGGCAACAAATATTCTGACTTCCATAGAATACAATCCAGGTGGTTACTATAGGATTCTGACGATGGTGTATAACACACAGAGATATTGGGTTTTCGGACTTTATCCATCGTCCTAGTTTTACGATAACTAAGAAAAACATGACGTTTCGGAAACTGAATCTGTTTCCGTTCTCAGGTCCAGTGATTGAGGCTAGCTCTTTCTAAGGGACCCAACAGAATAGGTGTTTTCCCTCCCGTGAGGTCGGAAACAGATCCAGTTTCCGAAACGTCGTGTTTTTCTTAGTTATCTTAAAACCAGGACGATTTATAAAGTCCGAAAACCCAATACAATCCAGGTGTTTTAACTTAATATTGAATAAGAGATTACACGAATACTGAAAATTTAAATTTCATATCTACCCCCTAAGCCCAAATTCGCTTTTGCCTTCCACAGCTGATACTGTGAATCGTACTGCTGTTAATCAAAGAGTGGAGGTATGTAATTTGGCCTATGGCAAATTTTCTTCTCTCTGTTACAATACAACCAATTCCCTGGAAATATATTTTTTTTGTCTGGTGTGTTTTCACGCAGGACTAGGACGCAGTGCCTGAGTTTCTAGATCTGGCATTGCCATTTAAACGAGTTTATGTCAGTCGTAGAAAATTTGTGAATTCAATGGATAGTAAGCCGGTCACTGTAGCCAAGCGGTCTAAGGCATCCACTGTCTTTGCTCGCTCGGAAGCCGGGATCGTGGCTTCAAATCCCACACAAGCCATGGATGTTTGGTGTGTGTATGTGTTTATTGTGTTTGTGTTTGTCCTGTGTTTAGGTAGGGACCTTGCGACGAGCTGATCACTCGTCCAAGGAGTCCTTTCGTCTGTAAAATGATGAATGAAATTGATAAATCAGCCCTATGCTATGAAGGCATATCTCCAACATTCTTGACCTCTGCACTAGGTTAAGAGCAGCGGTCAGTTTCACGCCCCCGCCGTTTTATCCCTCTAGGGGAATCGTCCCCGTGTCTATTAGATAAGAGGCTAGGTGAGCCCTAGAGCCGGTCTAGACACTGTGGAGAAGGTCTATAGGCACCTGCTCTAGCTGAATTCTCGCTACCTGATTTTTCTGCCCTGAAGATGGAGGTGATACGTTTCCACGAAACGTCTGTTCGCATAAGATCTACATGGCGCCACATTCCAGAACACGGCATTCTTAGTAAAGAGAGATATTTTCAAAGAGCAGAACTTGCAATAAGTTATGTTTCGACTATGAACATTCTTATTCCGCTCTTCCGGTAAGGTCTACGTCGATACAAGCAGTTCAGGTGCTATAAAGGAACGTTTTATCTCCCGTTAGGAACTGAT